ATAAGACAGCTTTATGCCTCATAAAGTATTTTTCTGAGGTCTGTCTTATCAGGTAAATTACTGTACACAGTGTATTCATTAATTTTCATTTTCATGTAGTAAAGGCTCTATGCCTTCATAAAAGACGTACTTTTCCTTTGTTTACGGGTATTTGGGCAGTTTATTCTCTGTCGTATTCTCAACTAAACAATACATACAAGTACAGTACAGTATTTTCTGAGGAAACACTCATACTTATTTTTTTTAACCCCATTCCCGATAACCCAGCATTTTCACAAACTCGGCCACCCTTCGGTCCACATTAGGCTGAGTTTTCGAGGCTCTACTGTATTGCTGAATAGTCTTTTAGCCTTGTAGACATATAGCTTGGTGGACATGATGCAAAGGAATCCTCTTTTTGGGGGAGAGAAGGGCCTCCATTGTCTGTTATGTATGAGTCTAACTCTCTATGATATATAGCATTCCAAGTGGTTTCAAGTTGCATAAAATACATAAGGTGTTTGAATTTGACGCAGAGAATGAGAAAATCAAGAATGGCTGCCCTATGGTGTGTAATTGTCTGTGATGAAGTACTTCTTGATCTGACTTAAGTCCAGAGGTCTCCAGTGGTAACTGGATCACAGTTTCTTATGATTAAACTACAATCACTGGAACTCTATAGTACCATTTGATGGGACCAATTTCTTTCTTTCAAAGTTGTAAATATGAGGAAATGGCCAAAATCCATTGAAGATAATTTCCAGCCAAGTCTACTTGTAAATATCATCATTGCAGGTACAATGCACAATGTTGAATGGATGGTTTTAAATGATTACTAAACTCAAGTAATATATGAGGGCAAGATGAAAAATTCTTGGCCTAGTAGTGAAAAAATTTTTTATTTTAAAAATGCATTTATTTCTCAATGTAATCTCCCTTTAATTCAATACACTTTGTCCAATATTTCTCCAATAACTGGATTCTGTTGTCTTGTCACCTAACACTGTCATTTGCTTACTTTTATGCTGTAAAAATAAGTGTTTGCAATAATGTTTGTAATGTATAATATTTGTGAATCCATAAAGCCAGTCCAGCTATTTACTGGATAACCCTTGTATAATGATTATTTGTTTATATCAATATTTAAGCATTTTTAATCAGAAAAGCAAATTAGTGATTTGCTTACTTTTACCATTATGAAATACAATTAATATGATATTAATTAATTCACACTATTATTGTGTGAAGTCAGCCCTACTACAACATTGAGGAATGTCTGTAGGTTAAACAACCAGAAACTTGATGATTCATGAGGATAGTGTTCAAGAATTGAAGTAAAGAAAGTTATGTGATGTCAGACAGGGCCTGTAAACTATGAGATCATATATTATACTTCCTCAATCCTGAGATGCACTCTTTTACCCATTCTTACTTATCAAAAAAGAGATGTGCCTTAGAATCAATGGCATCTTACATTCACAGTCTAAAACAACAATCAAAAGTTATTGTAATGGACCATATAATTTTATGTATTATGCATCAATAACAGATGTTTTAGCTTTGCTGCTCAATGACCACATCAGTTTGAATGAGTTTCACTGTTAATAAGTATTTAAAGCTCCTGTTTAATGATAAAATTTCTTCAAGACATTATAATTCAGTATTAAAAAGTTATTGTTTATGCAGAAGAGTATGGAAATAAAGCTGAACACTATTCATTTCATGATATTGTATTAATATTTGTATTATTTTTCTAACTTATTGTTACTTATGAAATTTAATAAAATTGATTACTTTCAATTTTTTTTCTCTCCATAAAAAATTTTTATAAATTTAATTTTAAACTCACACTAAATCTTAGAATCAAGAAAATATAGTTTGCATCAATTGAAATTATTGGATATTTATCTAATAAAGATAATTAGATTCTCTTGGTTATGGTTAAGAAATACAGTAGAGCATCGATTATCCGACTCCCGATTAACCGTCACATCGGTTAACCGACTGTTCTAGTCGGCAAATTTCAAATCGCCGCTAGTGATGTGGCATTACAATATTTGGCTATGTCTTGGCTACTTTAATATTATTTTTGTTAAATTTTTGCGTGTTTCAGCTGACATCAACGGCTCGACCATTGAAGGGAGGCCAATATTTAAACGAGACTTAATTTTCTAATTATGAGTGGTTGTTTGTTTCGTGAGCAATAAAATAATTTAAAAATAATTTTTAACGATACAATAGTGACGATTATTATTTTGAAAAAACTTTGTTAGGCTAAACATCGATGAAAATTCGACGCGAAGTTGGTTAATAGCAATATACTAATAAACTAATTACATGGGATATACTAATATCTTAATATACTATACTAATAATGTATTTTTTCCCTTCTTTTCAGTTATCCGACCAACCTGAGTCCCCAATTGAGTCAGATAATCAATGCTCTACTGTAAATATAATCCAAAATATATATAAAATAAATTTAATTACCTTTATTTACTTTTTCACAAAGAAGAATTACTTCAGTTCCACCA